AGCAGATATGATCTTTTCCATGAGACAAGTCCAGGAGAAGTCCATTGAACAGAACAAGCGTCGTTACTCTGTCTTCATTGGCCTGATAAAGGTATCTGACAATGTAAACAGGGAGGCTCTCTGGATCATCCTGGGACATTCTGGATGCCTGAGGAAATTTGTGAAGTTGATTCAGCTACCCCACAATGGAATCACACGACAGGTTCTTTACAACAGTGAGACATCAACTACATTGGGTAAAAAAAGAGTTATGTGCTAGCGCCTGTTTTGTTCAATCTGTTATTCGCTTGCATGTTGTCATGTGCTGTCCAGGATCTGAAGGAGGGAGTGTACATCAGGTACTGATTGGATGGCTCTCTCTTTGACCTTCGTTGCTTGAATGCATGGACAAAGTGCCTCCAGACAGTCATTCAAGGAACCCACTTTGCTGATGACCATGTGCTCCTGGTGTACAAAGACAGTGATTTACAGTTGATGCTGAACAAATTCTCAGATGCTGCCATGCTCTTTGGCCTGACTATCAGCCTGAAGAAGACTGAAGTACTTTAGCAGCTTGTGCCGACCCTGTAGAACCAAAATCATTGTTGATGACACCCAGCTGACAAATGAAAACAGCTTCAAATACTTGGGAAGCATTATCTTCAGCAATGGGTCTTTGGACAAAGACATTGACTCCAGGATCAGCAAGGCCAGCCAGGCACTGGGGAAGCTGCATACTAGAGTGCTCAATCAACACAACATCCGTAGCTCCACAAAGCTGAAAGTCTACAGAGCTGTGGTTATCCCTTCTCTCCAATATGGATGTGAGTCCTGGACTATGTACCGAAGGCACATCAAACAACTGAGGAAATTTCACATGCGCACTCTCTGCTTCATCCTCGGCATTTGTTGGCAACTTGGAGATCCTGGATTGTGCAGAGTCCACCAGCATTTAATCCCTGATTATCAGAGCCCAGATGGGGTGGGTGGGATAAGTCATTAGAATGGATGACCACTGTATGCGTCGCCAGTCACTCTATAGTATACTGGAGTCTGGGAAGAGACCTTGAGGTTGACCACGCAAGCACTAGCAAGATGCTGTGAAAGGAACCCTACGCCACTGGGACATCCAGCCAAGGGAACTAGAAGCTGCAGCTGCTGACACAACTCGCTGGCGAGTCCTGTGCTATGAAGGCTACACTGGCTTTGAACAGAGGCACCACCAAAAACTGATAAAAAGCCATGAGTGGCATCACAGAATGACACCCACAGTTACTATAACAATGGACTTCCAGTGCCTCCATTGTGCCCGACTATGCGCTTCCTGACTGGGACTGCAGAGCTCCCTCTGTGTCCACAGATGGACTGCACAACAGCGGGTCTTCTTTGAAACCGAAGGACTAGCATACAGATGTTACAATTCCCAGAATTCTCTAATAGCACTTTTGCTCACAATTCTGGTAATTGCAGTCCAGTACAATTGGGCTGGAAGCCCCCGGTGGAAGAGTGGGCTACATAAATGGCAGAATGATATGTACAGTTTCCAACAGCAGGTGAATGTGTGTGTCTATGTGTCTCTGTGTGTGTATGTGTGTGAAATGATAGGGGATTTCATATTAATCATTCAATGTTGAAAGTGCAACTTCAAAAACAAAACATAAATAAAATCATCCCAGCTGAATGTTTTATGATGCCACTTTTCAGTTTACAGGTGGTAAATTTATAGGCAATTTATTAGATCATTCAGAAATGTGATTCTGCCCATACATTACAGTGACATTGTTGATTCTACCATCTTATTTCACTGCCTACCTGGATGGATCCCTTTGCGCTCAAAAATATTTCTGATAATTTAAAATACATTTCAGGCATGAAATGTGTCACAGCCCATGACCTCCCCTCTTCAGTATAGAATATCACAGATAGATGTGAATCCATGGGCCTAGAATAGCACTAAGATATTAA